CCAAGATCCTTCTCACAGCTGCTACTATTGAGCAAGGTACCACCTATACTATACCTGTGCATTTAGTTTTTCTTGCCTAAATGTAGAACCTTACTTTTTTCACCATTAAATTTCATTTTGTTAGATAGCGCCCAGTGTTCAAGTCTGTCAAGATAGTTCTGTATCTTAAGCCTGTCTTCTGGAGTATTGGCTATTCCTGCCAGCTTAGTGACGTCTGCAAATTTGATGAGTTCCCCATTTATCCCCTAATCCAAATCATTGATGAAGATGTTGAAGAGCACTGGGCCCAGAACAGAGCCCTGGGGCACCTCACTACACACTTCCCTCCATGTAGATGCAGTTCCATTGAGGACCACACACTGAGTATGGCCGGTCAGCCAGCTACGAATCCATCTGGTGGTGATGCTGTCTAACCCACATTTTTCTATCTTATCAAGTAGGAGGTTGTGGTCTACTTTATCAAATGCCTTACTGAAGTCCAAGTAAATTATATCCACAGCATTCCTCTGTCTACTAATTTTGTCATCTGGTCAAAGAACAGTAAGATTTGTCTGGCATGACCTATATTTGAAGGATCACCTCTCCCCGGTAACATGTACCCAGCTCATCAGAATGGGAATGCAGGCTATGTTATGGCTCCCATCTATTAAGGAAGTACAACTGATGGACCCTTTGGAACATCACTCCTTGGGAAATAAGGTTGGCCTGCTCCTTGCTACTTTTCTAGAAGTCCTTGAAAACATGGTTCTGTCAGTGGGCCTAGAGACTCCAGGTTGATTCAAAGCCAATCAAGTATCGCTACCATGGGGGGAGGGGGGAGGATTCTGGAATCTTTATAGTGTTGGTTTTTAATGTACGCCACCTGGAGTCATTGTATTTGAGTTGGGTAGCCATTTAAATCTTTTTAATAAATAAATAGAATTATTTATTTTATGCAAGTGACATAAGCTTGTGAATGTATATGGGCACAGGTTTGTGTATACATAGTTGCTTGATACAAGATTCAGTTAATAGCATGTGTATATGTGTGGTTTGCAGTCTTTTTTATTTTCACCTTCGTTCATTGCAACACTTCTTACTGTTTCACAATTTTCGGAGTTGTACTGGGAGCAATGGGGAGGAAGGAACAGGCATCAGTGGTAACTGACTGACTTTTACACCTTTTCGAGGGTGTGTTAAATGTGATGGCTGTAAAAAAAAAGAACAATGTTTGTTTATATCAGATTGAATACCAGCTAATTCGTTGATTAGAGTAAACATATACGATACTGTTCTATTTGTATGAGTTATTAAATTTCAATAACAGCAAATGTAAACTTTTAGGAAATCTGCTTCTTAATCAAAATTGATACAAAGTAGTGCTACAACTTGAGCTTCCCAAATACCAGTATGTGTTGATCCCAGGATTATCAGAATAACAGACTCGGAAGGGCCATTGGAGGTCTTCTAGTCTAACCCCCTGCTCAAGCAAGAAACCCTATATCATTTCAGACAAATGGTTGTCCGATCTCTTCTTAAAAACCTCCAGTGTTGGAGCACTCACAGCTTCTGGAATCAAGTTGTTCCACTGACTAATTGTAACTGTCAAGAAATTTCTCCTTCTAGATTGCTTCTTTTCTTGATTAATTTCTATCCATTGTTTCTTGTCCTGCCTTCAGGTGCTTTGGAGAATAGGTTGTCCCCCTCTTCTTTGTGGCAGTCCCTCAAATATTGGAACACTACTATCATGTCACCCCTAGTCCTTCTTTTCATTAAATTATTCTAAATCTGACTAGTTAGACCCAACAAAAGAAACACCTATTGTTTAGAATTTGTTGCAAGTCTCCATTCCCAATAATTATTTTCCCTTTTTATAATCTTCTCTGAATTTTTGAATTATTGGACATATCCATCTGAAAATGATACTCAAAAGTTCAGTTTACGAATTTCATAGTTTTTGTGTGTGTTATCTAGACAGAAATGAATACAACTGGGTGCTAAATGTCTCTGTAGCTTTTCTTAACATCTTATATGTGTATAAGACCCTTTTCGTATTTTAAAGGCCAACAGGAAAGAGCCATAATGATCAAACTCCATTTTTGGAAATTGATTATTTGGTAAGATTAAAATCACAGTATCATGTTTTTGAAGTCTAACCTGACCCCATGTTTGATGATAATGAAAAATCCTGAAAGTGATAAGGGAGTCAACAGATTTGTACTTCCCCTATTTTCCACTGTAGGTCAGCTACTTGGACCACTAAAACTGTTTCTGAAGCTTAATTATGATAATCCATCTGCCACATTTATTTTGTCCCAGAATGAAAGATTTAGTTATTGTATGGATATATCCCATATAGTGGAATTCTTTTGGTTTCTTTATTGATTGCTATGTAATCTCTCAAAGAAATATAACCTAAATTGATTTTTTGTTGTCTCCAACCAAAATGTGGCAATTTTCAAAACCCCCAATAGATAAAAAAAACAAGGGAAATACAATAGCCTTCATATCTACAAGCAGTTTATCTACTTCCAGTAGATGAGATTATATATTTAGCTCAGGTTGAACTGTGGAGTCCTTGGTGTTTTTTGAGCTTAGTTGTGTAGCTCACATTCATATACTTAACATGTATACTGGTAGAAGAAGAAATAGTTAACTCACTTACTGTAATTTGAATAATTCTCTTGGCCATATTTTCAAAAGAACTATCTTGATCAGTAGAAGTTATTTTCAGCTTCGGAGGTGTTACAACCTTTTTCAAGTAATTCAGAAAAATCAAGAATTATGGGGAAAGCTGTAATGGTTTATAAAGGAATATGGACAAGGAAAAAGAATCTATTAACTGGTGTCTTGAAATCGTCTTTATAAGAGGCTTTTCAATATTTACCACATTCAATCTTACAACCATCAGTAGTGTGCCTGTTTCGGATATGACTAGGAAAAGATTTATATTGGAATTATCTTCAGAAAAGATTCATAGTTTTAGAATTTACATACAAGATTAGTGTCTTGTTTTTTTACAAACCAAACATTCATATTATCAACCATCCTTATGCAGAAGCAAAGTTTGACTTAACAGTTTTCCATGCAGTTTTCTTTTTTGCTTTTTGAATAGCCTGTTTGTCACATTTATATAGTTAAAAAAAGGTCAATTATATATGGATCTAAACTCTCTCCTCATCCCCTGCTCAAAAATATAAAATGCCCAAGTGTCTATCATAAAAAAAACCTAGAGAATCTTCCGCAAACTCAAGATAGATGATAGTATACAATACTTCTCCTTAGAAGCTTCAGATTTCAGATCGCACTAAAGAATTTGCCTATCATCTGGTAATTTCCTGTATTCTTACATCACAGATGTTCAAGATGCTATAAACAGTGCAGGGTTTTTATTTTGCCTTGCTTTTCTGTAAAACCATTAATTATACTGCCGTTAGTGGAAATAATGTACAATTGCTTATTCTATTTTGTTGTTTATTTACAGCATTTTTCAATTACCATATTTGTACCTTAATCCTGTGCTCCCCCCCCCCCGAACAAATTTAATTCATTCTATTTGTAATCACCCAACTCTGACTTTGTCTCATTCCCCCAAAGGAATGCTGAGTTAGAGTTACTCTGTACTTTGTCAATGACTGACTACCAGGAAATTTAGGTACTACGGCTGTAGTCTAAACTGGAAAGTCAGAAAACTACTACGTCCAAAAAAGGTTCATCCATGTGCTCAGCAGGAGTTTAGCTTGATTGCAAGGAGTTTTTATCTTTTAGGGCTTTCTGCTAGTGAAGCTATGCTTTTATAACTAAGCCAAGATATCTAAGCCAAGATGCATGTGGGAAGATTTTTAGGTTGCAAAACGATCTCCATTCAGTATTTGCCTGTTATACAAAGACTAGTCTTTTGCTGCAAAACACTATGGTTTAAATGTGAGGTGTTTTTTTTTGCTGTGCTTAATAAAACAGTATTGATTGCTTTTAAAGAGCTAGGAAGCAATTTTATTCTGATCTGTATTTTAAGCTACTATGTTCTCTTAATTATTCATTTTCAACTATTAATCACACCAGAGGTTCACAAACTGTTGCTCTAAAAGCCTTCGATGCAGTTTGCAAAGCACCTTTGAAAGGTGTCAACAAATTGTAATGCACCTAATCATCAGAATTTGCTAAAATGCATGATCAGGTTTTACACTTTCTCTCAAATGATAATGATGCTAATAGTGGTAGCAATCAGCAGCAGTTAGTACTGTATTTCCCCGAAAATAAGTCCTAACTGGAAAATAAGCCCTAGCATGATTTTTCAGGATGCTTATAATATAAGCCCTATCCCCAAAATAAACTCCAGTTAAGATCATCAGCCAGATGGACACATTTAGTACGTTCGTTGCAACACACAACGGACATATTGAATTATAAAATAATAATATTAATATATAAATAAATAATATTGATATTATTTATTTGTATAAATGTAGATAGTTGTACATGAAAAAATAGGACATCACCTGAAAATAAGCCCTAATGCATCTTTTGGAGCAAAAATTAATATAAGTCCCGGTCTTATTTTCGGGGAAATACAGTGTTAAGGAACGTAATTCAAGATGGCTCCATGGGTACCTGTGGCAGATCAAAGATAGAAGACCATATGCGGCTTGCAGTCCAGCCTTCACAATCATGCAACACAATTTGTGTGCCATAAACATCTTGTCTTAAAATCCTGAATATAGTTCCTAGACTCCTTGAATTCTGACAGGACACAGAATACTCTAGTGCCAAACTGAGATGGCAAGTCAATATTTCAGTTACTGAAATATTGTATGTTTCTCACTGGAACTATCGTTATTCTACTCTCCTTGCTCACCTATGCATACAAAATTATAAAATATCAAGAAATCGCTAGTTCAAGGAAAATGTTATCAAATATTAAAAATACTTTATAAATAAATACTGGCAAATTCACAGAGAATAACTTTCATAATAGCTAAATCTTAAAGTTCTTGTTTTTATGAAGCTTCCCTTTAATCAGATTACTTTGAACTCACCCTATAGATTGGTATAGCTCCAAATACAATGCCAGCTTCTTTGTTTCCAGATTTGAAACTTTCCAAGGGGGATTTATTGACCTGTAATATTAAAATAATATAATTTCAATTCCAAAAATAATGGTCTCTCAGTTATTTAATACATTAATTTTGTATTTTTAAAATCTGATTTAAGTTGAATTCAGCTCCTGTTTCATTGAAGTACAGCTTCTTTAGCGAAAATAATGGTGGCTAGATGTAGTTCTGACTTGTAGAGTAGACTAGGAAGTAAAAGAATCTACAGAAGATGGCAAGGCATATCATTTATAAACTGTAGTGTTTATAAAGTCACCAAAAGTTCAATTCAAGGAACTTCACCACAGCAATATTCTTCTTCATTTGATTATTTGAACATAGGTTTGTTGGTACAAATAAAGGAATGTTAGTGCTACTTTCATTATACAATGAAAGGCACACAGTTTTCTTAAAATAAACACTTCAGAAGTATGAAATTTAAGCATTGCTTAGTATAAATAATGAAAACAATTATAATAATTATTATAATTTGAGTCATAATCTGACAGAATGATAGTTCTCAAATTTAACATTACACAAATGGAAAAATCAAAAGCTTGTCTAGCCAAACCCAAGTCTTCCTTGCTATCTTGCTTAGCATGATCCAAAATCCAGTATCCAGAATTGTGCCTCCCCAAATAAGATAGTTGGCATATAAAATAACCAGGCAAGATTTGACAGTGTCACTGCCCCTAACTAATCTTTCCAATAAGACACTGTTTCTCAACCTTAGCAACTTTAAGACGTGTGGGCTTCAGCTCTAAGAATTTCTCAGTCAGGAGTTGAATTCTACACATCTGAAAGCTGCTGAGGTTGAGAAATATTGGAACAAGACAAAATAAAGCTTCAACAGTTAGTACCTTGGGAGAAGCCAGGGCCTTGAAAAACTTAAAATCCAGATCAACGTCATGTCGGCTAGGCTTTCTCAAGTTTAAAGATGATTTAGTCAGGGTCTTCCATCTATTAAAAAGATATAGTTGAGAAGCAATATGTTACTTGCAAAACAAAGGAAACATTCAGCTTCATAATTATGTCAATGATGAACCATTAATCTCAATTCTAATATGGTCATCAAAAGAAATAAAAAATGCTGTTCTGCTAGTTTAATGCTGCAATTTGTTTAAGCTTAAGCCCCATTGAAATACTCTTATTGAAGAATAAGATTCATTGACTATAATGGCTATTACAGTAATTCTGATTATGCATTTGTAAGATTGCTTTAAATCAGAAATACACCCAGGCAAGACTCTGGCCTGGTGTACACTTCTTTAATAAATAAAATCTATTTATTGGCTGCCCATCCCCAGTGGACTCTAGGTGGCATACAAAACTATAAAAAAACAAAAATAATTAAAACTATTAAATTGGACAGATAACCCAGACTAATATGATCTAATAAACAACAAATACACTAAAACAACGCAGGGGCCTTATACCAATCATGAACACTAATCCAGGCTGGGGATCCAGGCCAGGTTTTCAAAATTTTATGGAACCCCAGGAGAGAGGGTCCCTTCCTTATGGGCCGAGTGGGGGGGAGATACTGACTGGGAGCAGCAATGGAGAAGGGCAGAAACTATGGGAGATAATTTTATTGACAGGGAAACAGTAATGCACGAATGAATATATTAGAATAGGATGAGATTAGAATAGGAAGATAAATATTTTCAGCATTAGCTAATTGCTGCCAGACTGCAGATCCTTTTGCTGCCTGACATCACAATGAGAAAAAAAATGCTGTTTTCCACTATGTGGCTCCTAACAATGAAACAGAAAAATCAAGCTAAAAAAGAGAGGCAATTAGTGATGACCACAAATGTAAGTAAAAGATTCAGGTAGTTTGCAAAACAATTCCTGATTTATTTTAGAGGAATGGATCAAGATGAGGACATTTCTGGGAAAAATTAAGGATCCTATTAACAGCATTAATATAAAAGAACCATCAAAGATTTAACAGAAACTCAATTAGCTGACAATTATATGCCACTTCTTATACAAATATGATTGTGTGATGAATCTATATACTATTAAATTTCTCCTGTTTATCTATAATTTTCAATTGGGTGAAATGGTACTAAATTAAATCTAGCACCTCTTACTCCCACTGGATTAAACTTGTGCCACTGTGGTCAGCAATGGTCACATGATTGTTATGGCCCAATGGATGAGTGACAATTTGGAACCAAAACCGAAATTTGAAATCTCTTAATGGCACTAGGCAGTGACGGAAGGGATGAGGGAAAGATTCAAATGCTTGCTGATGACAGACAGGAGAGGCCAGCCTGGGGGGAGGGCACCAATGGTCAACTGGTGAGACTTCTTCCTCCCTGGATTATACCAAAATGGGGAGCAGGAAATCAATCTTCTTCATGGTTTGTGGCTCCCTTGGTTCCCCCTTCTGCCACCAAAGGGGCAAGCAATTCTGTGGGTGAATCAAGGAAGAAGAGGAAGGTTCGTTAGGGCTGTGCTGAAGGTCAGAAAGGGGGGAGGAAAGGGTGCCAACCTATAACATATGTGGAAAGGATGATCCAACAAGTCATGGGTTGTCTAGTTAATCACAACACTAATGAGCCTCTCATTCCCATTTCTTCTGATTTGAAAGTGCTAAACAAATTCTTTCAGCAAAGCAGATGTGCGACCTTACTTTTCCCTGTCAAAAAACAGAGGGTATTCAAACTTCTGCTTTTTATCCATAAACTTGGATTCTTCTTTTATTGTGAATGGAATTTCATTTACATCGCAGGGCAAAATTATATCAGAGGATTCAGTAATTTCAAACACTCGGCGCTGTCCAAAATAGCCAAAATAGACTCCACGAATTGAATGCCAAAGTCTATTAAAGAAATCCAACCAAGAAATATTTTAAAAATAGTGTCAGCATTTAACAGAGAAAAGAGATTGGAGGCAATGATACGAAGAGGCTTCAAATACTAATCAAATACAATCGGCATTATATAGGTAGTCCTTGACTTATGACCACAATTAAGCCCAAAATTTCTATTAAGTGACACATTTGTTAAGTCAGTTTTACTCCATTTTATGACCTTTCTTGTCACAGTTGTTAAGTGAATCACTCCAGTTGATAAGTTAGTAACCTGGTTAGTAAGTGAATCTGGCTTTCTCATTGACTTAGCTTGTCAGAAGGTTGCAAAAGGTGATCATGTGACCTTGGGACACAGCAACGGCCATAAATATGAGGCAGTTGCCAAGCATCTGAATTTTGATCACGTCATCATGGGGCTGTAATTGTGAAAAATGGCCATATATCACATTTTTCAATGCTGTTGTAACTTTGAACGGTCACTAAATGTTTTAAGTCGAGGACTACCTGTAATAATTTTTAATAGAGCACCTTTTAGGACAATACATTAATAGCTGACAGTTCAGATAAATATATGTAATTGCCAAGATGGCAATTGTAACTTTTCATCAGCTACCCTTTGTTAACAGTTGGCTCACAGAAAAAGATTTTGGAATTTGCTTGCCTGGAGCACCAACTCTAAGTAAGATCTGCCCTGAACATTTCCCTTTTGTCTTCTTCTTTAAAAAAAATAATATCAGCCATCTTCCACTAGTGGCCATCTTTTTATGGTGGTGGCTAAGTTGCCATTAGGAGAGGCCAGCATGGCCAAATTCCCAGAGTCCCAAGCCCCATTAATAGAATCCATGGTCAGCTCCAAAGCTGATGGACACTTAGTAAAGAACCATCTAGGCTGGTTAATGCTGCGATTGAGAGCCTCAGACAGTGTCAACAGCTAAATATAACTAACCTGACAGAACCATCAGTGGAGGCAGTCATCACTAGGCATTTTTCATCATCACAAGATAGATTGACTATTTTAGCAGAATGAGCCCGCCAACACATTTGTTGCTTTACATGCTGCAAAAAAATATAAGTTCAAATTCAAATTCAAATTTATTTGATTTATATACCGCCCTTCTCCCTTGCGGGACTCAGGGCGGTGAACAGGCACATTAATAAAACAGCAATACCATAATATTTAAAAATATTTAAAACAAATTAAATTATTTGTCCTGTCCTAAAACCCACTATAATAATATAAAATTATACCCAATTTAAAAATTTTAGAGTTTCAGATTTATGCCAGACCGGCCTCTTGGAACAGATAGGTCTTTAGGGCTCGGCGGAAGTTAACATTATCTGTCTTCACATGTAATATTAAGTCGGAATTTTTAACACTTGAACAAGGCATGGTGGCCATATTCAGACACAGTTAAGCCCCACTTCACATTCTCACATCATGCCAAGCCAAAAGTGGACAAGATACATTATGTCTCAACTGTATGTATGTATGAGACAGTCTACAATGCCAGACAGTTTGGGGATTGTTGATGGATAACTGAAAGTTATAATGTCCATGCAGTTGAAATTTAAAGAACAGGTTATGAAAAAAGGCATGAAGACTCTGGTCTCAAATCCTGTTTTTATCAAATATGAGACCATCAAATATGACAACTTAAGCACATTCAAATTGTTAATTTGATATGGAAACTGAAAATTGAGATTGGCATCACTAAGCAATGTAGTCAAGTGACATCAAACTAGCTGTTTGCATTTGCTTTTGTTTAAATTTTGTTGCTTTGTGCCCATTTCTTTCATTTATTAACATTGCTTTAAAATTTATTTCTGCCTTCTATGGTGTTATCAGTCTTTTGAATTATTTGAAAATTTAATAAGTATTCACCTCATCATTCAAGTTGGAAAAAATATTGATAAGTAAAAACCTGGGATTGATCTTGTGACAATCTCATAATTAGTTTCATAATGCGAGTATTTAATAATATTTATTTTTAATAATTCTTAGATTACTATACTAATCCAAATTAATAATCCAATTTTAATTTACAAATATCGGATTATTAAACACTTCAGTAACTTCAAATGTGAATTTAGCAGCTTTGAGAAATAATAATTCTGCATGTAATTCATTCCCACAGATATTTCTTGAACTAAACAAATCATTAACTATTCTTATGTTTTATTTACTTTCAATTTTTAAATTAAATCTATATGTAATATACGTATCAACTGTGCAAAGAATATGGACTATGTATGAATCCATGTAAATGAATTGGAGGATTGGAGATATTATTTTGCATTTTGCTCACCCTGCTTGGATCTTTTGGATCTTGCAGGAATGAGCCAATGTTCCATCGAATAACATTTCCCTCTGTAAGACAAATCATCTATTAAAAAATTAGAACTTTTTCACAATACAGAATTGGCCAAGAGCCATCCCTAAGATAATTGCATGGCATCAATATCCTGTAAGTTAAGAAGCCGCAGAATACGTATCAAGTAAACAGTGATATTTTACGATTCAAACAGGGTCTCTTGATGGCTATTTTGTTCTGACTAAAGAAGACAGCTTAATATATTTTTTTTATATCATAGAAACCCATTTTTCTAATTTAAAACAGTATTTAAGATTATAAACACATTTTCATTTTACCAAAATCTTATTTGGATTACTATGAAAAACAGATTCAACTATTGCCATCGACCTGGAATTTTAAGCACTCTTGTTATTATCTTACACAGCGTAACACTGTGTGTATCATCTTACACAGTCTTGCCAAGCGTGGTAAATACATCTCATTTCCCCATTTTGTTTTGAGAAATTTGCTTAGATCGGAAGTTCCTAGACTCCTTATGTCTAGATAAGTTGCTTTAATGAAGACAAGAAAGAAGTCATACAGATGCAGATGGTCTGCTTCCTGCAGAGTCCACAAGTCTATTTCAGGGTTTAAACCAGGGGTAGTCAACCTTGGCTCTTTTATGACTCATGGACTTCAACTCCCAGAATTCCTGAGCCAGCTTAGGAATTCTGGGAGTTGAAGTCCACAAGTCATAAAAGAGCCAAGGTTGACTATCCCTGGTTTAAACTCTAGCCTTTTCCTCCTGTCTTTATGAATCAATTGAAATTTGGCTCTTCTCTTCCCAGCCTTAAAACTGGGAGACAGTGGCATGGTGTTTATACAAAGGTTCTGTCTAGACCAGGGATAGGCAACCTTGGCTCTTTTATGACTCGTGGACTTCAACTCCCATGGCTGGCTCAGGAATTCTGGGAGCTGAAGTCCACAAGTCATAAAAGAGCCAAGGTTGCCTACCCCTGGTCTAGTCTGAGAAGGCCTGATTCTTGCTTCACCAGCTTAATCTTTTGCATCCAGTTTCTTACTGTTAGGTATATTGTGTTTTTACACACATGATTTATTTATTTAGAAAGTCTATACCTACTGTTTTAACAATTCAGGGTAGATTACAGACACATTTAGAAAAATATTTCAATTGTACATTCAATGGTAACTGATATAACAATATTATTCAAAGGCCTGGAAAAGTACTTATTTTATTTATTTAACACATTTATATAGCTGTCCATCTATATTGTATGACAATCATATTGAGCAATAAAGCTTACCTTTGTTAGCAGCGAAAAGCATTTCGACAGCCCCATCAGCACAAAGTGCTGTCAAAGGAATGGGAGGATGTTTTGTGTAAGGCAGAATTTCTTTCAGTAGATCTCCCTTCACAAACAGAAATACAATCACATTTTCACAAATCAGAATTTTCTGCAGTTAGGACTTGGGGATTGTATGAGTCATACCCATTTTCATACCTATCAAAATAAAAACCTTCTATATTAGCCATTAAATTGGCTTACAGCAGAATCTTATGCCTACTTCCTTCTAAGCACAATAAATTATACTGTACTCAATGTACTGCACCCTGTTCATGTATCACGCTAAGCTAAGGCTTTTTAAAGCAATGTTTGTTGTTCAAGTATAAAGGCCTGATTTGCATATTAGATATAAACTGCTGTTCACAAACAAAAATGCTGGGTTCATACATGTCATGGCCAGCTCAGAATCTGGTGAGTATGCCAATGAGCAGCCAGTTCCTGAGTCACTGCTGGATAACCAAGAGGCAGCTGCCATCAATCTCTGAATAAATCATGAGGATTTATTTTGCTATCTGCTCCCAGTGCAAGAGCTCGCCATGCAAACAGGAGAGCAAAGGCAAGACCCCTCATAAGAAAGGAGCCAGACCCTTTCAAGTGAGCAACACCAGGCTTGCTTCTATGAAAGAAGATCAGCCAACGGAAACCTACTCATTTGCAACAACTGTCTAGTTACTCAGACTTCGTATGCCTTGATTCAGAGGTCTTCAAACTTGGCCCTTTTATGACTTGTGGACTTCAACTCCCAGAATTCCTCAGCCAGCATGCCTGGCTGAGGAATTCTGGGAGTTGAAGGCCACAATTCATAAAAGGGCCAAGTTTGAAGACTCGTGCCTTGACCACTCATGGGCCCACTGTTTGGGATTTGGAATTTTCTTAAAGCAAAAGCTTGCTAGATATACTGTATGAGGATTTGATTTCTCTGGTGTGTGCATGTGTGTTTGCACTGATATTTCTTTTGCTACTTGTCCATTTGTTTCACAGATTTCTCCATTAAATTTGGAACCACCTCCCTATATGCAAATGTGCGACCTTAGACAGAGCAACAATAAAGCACTTTAAGCTAAAGCCAAATGAACCATCAGTGGCATAGAAAAAAGTGTGAATAGTTTTATATGTTTTGGGGACAACAGAAAAAACGGGAAAACATAGATGTAGAAAAGTCTCTTGACCAGAGGAAAACATAACTGAAACTCTTCTTCACTACTTCACTACTTCAGTTCCATAAAAGGACTTACCATAATGCTCCATAGATAAATGAAACCATTTTCATGTGCTGAGGCAAGTATGGGTATAGAAAGATAATCATGTTTTCCAACTGATAATACATTGGCTATTGCTCCTTTGCTTATGGAAGAATCTAGAAGCTTTATTTCTAAAGCAGAAGACAATTAATCAACCAAACAGTATTCATATTTTATTTTCCTTGAACATAACTTGTTTGTCATTCTCTACTGTCATTCTCATGATGCTTCACTTTCCTGCATCATGAGATGTATTAGCATATTCTATTTCCACTATTTGCTTAAATTTTATTAAAATAAAATCCATCAAGAGTGCTATTACATAAATAATCAAGTCTCTATCCAAATTTAATCCTGTTGACTTCATGGACAGACTTCAAACTTAATCCTGTTGACTCCATGAAGTCAACAACATGTTGTTGGCAAGAACATGAAAACAGTACGTCATTGCTTTCTTTCAAGATATTTTTTTCAACTTCTCAATTTTATAGGATTTCATAGTGATTTTCCATCTAATCAATTCCAGCCCTTTCCAAGATCAAGACTAGGATGTGTGTTATAAAATAAATTCTTCAATTTTTTTCCCTTTGGAATTCCCTTGTGGAAATTATTCCTTTGCTTTCTGAAGGGGAAGAATGTGGAGGGGTGTTTTTTTTTTCTGAAGCAGAACCAATTCAACAAACAATATTCATGCTTTTCTTTCTTTGAACATAATTACTTGTCATGTCATATCATTAGATTTATTAATGTATCTATGCCCACCTTTTAAGCACTTTGGCGCTTCCGATACAGAAGTATTAATTGCAATTTTCCTTGCCTGTCATTAAAGTAATCTCAAATAAACTAGCTGTTGCAGTTTTTTTTAAAAGAGTTTCTTAAACATACCCTCAAAAATATAGTTTATTGTCTAAAGGAACTAAAATGTTTCTGATTCATACCTGAAAGAGTTGTTGCACCAACAGATTGTCTTATAATGCTATTCTGAAATCAAACAACAGAAATTTAAAATTTTAGTTTTATTCAATCCAGTTCAAGCTTAAATTAATCCTGTTGATTATTTTCAGAAAAAAACCAATCTTTTTTAAAGTGTTCCCATAATTAAATAAATCATGATTTTTTTCAGAATATGTGCACAAGGTGGGGTGAACGCTCTTCTAGCCTGTAATAGGAGGGCTTTGTGGCCCAAATAATTATATCCCCAAATTCAGACACACCCAAATTCCATGTGCTTGCTAAAGTTCTCAGTATGTGACATAGCAGTCTAATGCACCTTCTGCTACCGATTTCTTTAAAGAATTATACCAACCAGTCATCTCATTGCACTTTTGGGAACAGTAGGTAATAAGGCTAGCAGCAGAGAAAATAATACAGAAGTAGTGCTGAACTTTAGGCTAATATGAATTATTTTACCCTATTCTCTATCAAAGTAAAATAAAAGCTTCGCTTTCCTGCTCTCCTCTACATAATGGATGGGAAGGTTATATGAAGCTTGAACTCCTGTTTCCAGCAGATCTGTTCCTGTATTTGATTGTTGCTTGAAAAGTGCAGGTCCTTAGGAGGTTTCAGCTTACATTCTATTCCTGCTGCTTCTAAAATTATTCCAACCCTATATTTATATTGATTTGCCTGCTTCATCATGATAAATTGCGTGTAAGTTTTTTTATTTGTTATTTGATTTTTCTAGATCTATTTCATTTGGGACTTTGTCCAATTTTGTCTAACAGTTTAAATTTTTAGTTTCTAAAATTTCACAAACAGTTTTTCAGTTCTGATGAAAAGGAAACTAAGGCATATTAGAGATATCCTGATTTAGTTGAGGAATATTATTGCCATGAGAAAATTCTCCCTGGGCATAAACTCAGCATTCAGTTTGCATGCAGTTGCAAACTACCATTTTCAGATGATTTTTAATTGGTTTTTTCCCCTTTATGTATATGTCCACCGATGCCAGAATAGAATCCCTGAGGTTAGATTAGAATACTTGGAAAATGTAAGCTTGGATGAAATCACCTCAAGAAAATATAAGAAAGTGCAATAATATAGCTTTCATATTCACAGCAGGCTTTGATAAAATTATGTGCCATCAAGATAGTATTGATTCTTAGTGACCACATAGATCTTGTCTATCTGTCCCTAACCTATCTTTTAGGTCTTCCGACAGTACACTTCCAACAATGTAAATAAGTCCATCCACCTTCTTGCTAGTCATACTTTTCTTCTTTTTCCTTCTACCTTTCCCAACATTAGAGTATACTACAGAGAATTTAGTTTTTGCATAATGTGTCTAAAGTAGGATGATTTTAGCTTGTTCATTTGTGACTTGGAGTGAGAATTTTGGGCTGATTTGTTCAATGATCCATTTATATATTTTCTTGGCTCAACCATTGTTTGAATGCATTAATAATGTACTTCTTTTGCTTCCACAGAGTGTCACAGAGAATCCCATGGCTTGCACTATACTGATCTTTATCAGCACAAACACATCACAAGATTTCCAAGGCCTTCATGGCTGCTCTACCAGGTGGTAGTATGTAACATATTTTTGGACTGTTGTTCTTTTGCTGTCATGGTTAATCAATCATTCCATTGTCAATTCTAAGGCTGGTTGTTGTACCTGCTGTCATTAGCTACTCATAGTCACCTTGAACAGTGAGATGGGCAGCAAATAAGATAAGATAAGATAATCTTTATTGTCATTTTTTTACTGTGGGCACAATGGCACACATCAAAAATGAAATTTAGTTGCCCGCTCTCAAAGTGAAGCACATACATGACACACACCTAAACATACTATGTACAATTTTATAATGATAATAATAATTAGTGTGGTCTCCTTTGTATTTAATTTTAATCACATTTTTTTTCATGTGTTCCTTGATTTATATTGCAGATTCTTTTCATTTTTAGCTATCAGGCATTTTTAGCTATCAGGCATTTTTAGCTATCAGGCAATAGCTAGGCTATTGATGTTTCTTCCTCCCGCTTTAAAACCACACTCATATTTTTCCAGTCCAGCTTCTTTTGATATATATTTATCATATAGGTTGAATAAGTAAGGGGAAAATATAGCCTTGCTGCACTCTTTTGCCAACCTGGAGCCATATTCCATCCAGACTGTGGCTTCCTGACCTGCACATATGTTTCTCATGAGAAAAATAAGGTGTTCTGGGATTGTCATTTTTTTTTCTAACCATATTCTAGAACTTGATATGGTTGATACAACTGAAGGCCTTTGTATAATCAATGAAGCATGAAGTCATTTATTTTTGGTATTTGACTTTCTCAAATATCTAGCATGGATCAGCAATAACCCGTGTGCATCAGCAGTAATTTATTACTTTATTAAGATCAACCCAAATATCACAGAAAAGTGCAGAAGATTTTTGATATGCTATGAACCTTCATCACGATTAACAGTAAACGAAATAAACGCAAAAGAGCTGGCTCAATCCTAAAGCCATAAAAAAATATCTATATTTAGTCACAGCCTGTCTGAGGACAGAATGCACTCTCCTTGCCCTCTGGTATGCTTTTGCTTCTATTTTCAGACAATAGTGACTTCTTGTTAAATGCAACCTCAGAATGGTGGTTTAAGGTGGCTGATGCTCTGCAGCTTTGCTAAAACGTTGAGCCACAGATAGATGGTAACCTGGATTAGAAACCATTTATTTATTTATTCATTCAGTTTATTTGCTGCCCATCTTGCCGTGGGGCTATTCTGGAGGGCTTACAACAATAGAATGTAAAATTATAAACAAATGTAAAAATAATAATAATAATAATAATAATAATAATAATAATAATAATAATAATAATAATGATGATGATGATGATGATGATGATGATGATGATGATGATGATGAAACAATAAAAACAAATAATGAAAATACAGCAATATGAATTAAAAGATGGGAATGTGTGTGATGGCGGACCTACTGCATGTGTGTGATGGCGGACCTACTGCTTTCGGCTCCGTAGTCTCCGCGGGGTCCTCAGCGGAGATGGGGAGCCTCTGAAGGTCCGGGGGTGCTCGCCGGCCGGAGTTTGGTAGGAGGAGAGGGTCAGCGAGCGAAGAAGGCGCGTTGGACCGCTGGACCACCTGGGCGGGGCCGCGAGCGGAGAGGCGGAGAAGCCGAGCGGAGAGGCCTGGCGAGTAGAGCGGGGTGACGACTTGGGGCCTAGCGGCCGGGAAAATCGGCGGCCGGTCGACTCGGGGCCTAGCGGCCAGGAAAATCGGCGGCCAGACGACTTGGGGCCTAGCGGCCGGGAAAATCGGCGGCCGGTCGACTCGGGGCCTAGCGGCCAGGAAAATCGGCGGCCGGACGACCTGGGGCCTAGCGGCCGGGAAAATCGGCGGCCGGACGACTTGGGGCCTAGCGGCCAGGAAGATCGGCGGCCGGACGCGGCGGCGGCCTGATGCGGCAAAGGCCAGCGGCTTGACGCGATGGCAGCTCGGCGGCCTCGGGAAAATCTACGACCCGAGGCTATGGCGGCCTAGCGGCCTGGCGCGGCTGCCTGGCGGCCCGATGCAGTGGCGGCCCTGCGGCCTGTTGAAGATCTGGCGGCCCGATGAGAGTCTGGGGCCTAGCGGCGTGGCAGCCTGGCAGCCTGGCGGCCTGGGGACCGGGGTGGCCAGACGGCCTGTAGGGAGAAGTGACCAGAAACGTGGCATACAGTGGCCCGGAGGTTGTGCCGGCCCAGCAGCGTGGTATACAGCGGCTCGGAGGGTGCGCCGGCACAGTGGCACAGCGGCCCGGGCGGAAGAACGGCCCGGGCGGAGGACAGGGCCCAAGGGAGGCATTGGCCGGAGGGATATGCCTGATGGTGAGTGCCTGGGGGTCCTGGGGACCTGTGTGACTGGGCTCGGCGGGCCTGGAGGCCTACGCTGCTGGCTGGCCGACTTTGACTGCAACTCCCTCCCCCCCTCCCCCCCTCTTTCTTATGGGGGGTATAAAGATCCACGAACTACGCCGCCTTCTTCCAATTCATCTAACCCCTTGACCACCACCACGAGGACTTTCCCCCTTCCCAACTCTGCTGTTGGACCTCCTGTTACGACTCGGGACTGTATTCCAGGAGGGAACTGCTGGCCCTGCGCGACTCCCCCATCGCGCAGGCATGGCCCAACACGATTCCGAGGGCCGGCCTTAATGAAGGGGTTTGGAACCCCGAGAGGTGGCATTCAGCGGCAGCATGGAGGGATCTAAGAAGGAGGAAACTATATGCCTTCTTAGAGGGGTGTTTTTCTAAATTTTTAGGGGGTTCGGGGTTGGCCCGAGGGGAACCAGGGGAGTCCTCTCGGAGGCCAAGGCCGGTCCTGTCTGGGGGGCGCGGAGTGGTAAGGGAGGAGACTGGGGGGCTGGCGGAGGGTGGTGTGATAGGTACGGT